GCCCTGTTGTTGGCCTTTGTGCCCTGTTGTTGGCCCTGTTGTTGGCCCTCCAGAGGAACTGGTTGGCCGCTGTGTGAGACAGAAGGATGGACTACATGGGCCACTGGTCTGATGCAGCAGGGCTCTTCTGATGTTGTTATGTCCCCATCTTTCTGTTGCTTCTGTTTCAGATGACAGAATTTTTACGGCAAGGTTTAAAATCATACAGGCAGATGGGGCATTTCACATGTCCAACAAGGGTTGTTTTTCTTCTTCTGTAGTCCTTAGGATAAGATACCTTTGACTTGGAATCAATGCAGTATTTAACAATAAGCCAACAAGGCAGAACTGAAAGGGTTCAGGTATTGTAATTTCTGTCGTTTCTGATGAAAATCTGCTCTGGAGTAGGCCACACACTGTCTTTGTCCTCAGACCAGAGCTGGTGTCCGTGAACCTGATCCAAGGAGATGGGGGAGCAGGGAGTCGGCGGCGGCTTCTGGTGGGGCCTGCTGCTGCCGCCGACTCCCCCATCTCCTTGGGTGCTGCCTGGTAGCGCTTGTGAGTCCTGCCCAGGACTGCTGGCGAAGGGCCTGTGAGAAGCAGTCAACGCCTCCAAGTTCCTGGTGGGCCTGGCAGTGCCACTCCAAGCTGCCCCAGCCCCCCGGGCACCGTCCTGGAAGGGATGTGCAGCTGTGCTGGCAAGGGGTAGGAGCAGGGCCGTGGCCAGAATTTTTTTTGTTAAGGGGGCAGCTTAGCACGGTGGAGAGCAGCTTTGGAGACACCCAAGTTTGAAAATCAGTAGATACCCTTCCCACTGAGTCGCAAACCCACACTAGTGTATGTAGTCGAAGAACTACTTACTTTGCTAACTACTGAACAAACAAGCAAAAATTATCTTAAACAAAGAGACGCCTAAGAGGCACTTCGAGTGCCAGGGATTGAGTTTGGGACCTTCTGGATTCCAAGCAGATGCTCTGCCACCGAGCCACAGCCCTTTCCTGCTTGGTCTTCCTCAGAAGAGCCAAAGTGTGGACAGACTCATCCAGTTCAGTTTCTTAAAGGTTATTTGCCCTCTGTTGGGGGGGTGGAGTAGACCTAAAGTCCAACTTTGCCAAAGGAGTCAAAAGAATGCTGAACACTTTCCAAATATTCAGTTAGAGGAACTGGAGGCCAGCAAGCTTATTAAACTCTCAAATACTTACTTCTCCACTACAAAGCAGAAGTTGGAGCGAAAAAGGTTAACTGACTGCCACTGAACCAGTTGTTGTGATCTCCCAGTTCACTAGCTGCTTTCTCCTCCACCTTCTTGTTGCTGTTCAGTTGCACAGTTGAGTCCGACTCTTTATGACCCCGTGGATGACATCATGCCAGGCCCTCTTGTCTACTGAAATCCACCCTCACCTGCATTTCGAGCCCTAAAAACATCTAGTTCTCTATTTTCCCTTTCTGTGTTTCTCAGTATGCTTTCTTGAGGAAGGGGGTAAACCCCAAAATGAAGAGAATGGTTTAAAAACTCAAAATGTTATATAAAACAGCTGATTAAAAAATAAACGAAAATGGAGAAAGCGCTCCAATGAGAAAGATCTTGCTAAAAAACAATCTAACTACAGACTCTACAGATTCTGGTCAAACAGGCAAAGTGAAGCACTTCACCAGTGTTTCATTTCCTTCTTGGTTTTGCTTGCGCTGAGCAGAAGCAAGTTATGAAGGGGCGGGAAGAGTCTGATGAGGCTGCCGTGAGTGGTGCACGACGCAACTCTCCCTTTGCAGAAGCTGCCCACCCGGGACTCCCTGGCAGTGCCACTTGAAACCCACCTGGTGTTCACTGTCCACATTCCGGGATTTGGGCCTAGCTGTACCAGAGATGAGGGGAAGTGAAGTGTAGTGGGTTAGACCCATGTAGAAACCACAGAGACGGATGCAGTGATCAGCATGGTTTACTCGTACACAACAAAGACCACCACTACTGGCCGGCTGGCCAACTATATACACACCTGGGGACCAATGTTCCCTCTAAGCTGTGGCGTCTTGTGAGCAAAAATTCTACTTTGTGAGCTACTGGCATTAAAGTTGTGAGCGAGCGATTTGGCTGCTGCATAAATTAGTTTGCTCTGGAGTCATTCTTCCTGGGCTAAAACAAAAATGTGTGGGCCGGAGGCTAAAAAATTGTGAGCTAGCCCACACTAACTCAGCTTAGAGAGAACACTGCTGGGGACACCCCCCTAGGTCCCGTTGGTGGGTTCAAATCTCCCGCCACGGTCCTATTGGTTCCCCAGTGGAGAGACTAGGAGCCTAGTCCCCATTGTTCTTGCAGAGTCAAGCTTGGGAGTATTCGCTGGTGACGCAAAAGGAGGATTGCCAAAGGTCAGAAGTGACTTGGCAGCACTTAACGCACACGGGACGAGAGAGCTCTTTTTAATCAATAAAGAAACCAACTGCAGGGAGGAAGCTGACCAAACTGGACCAGGACAGCGCTCTCCTCTGGACTGTTTCCCAGGTTAAAACTATCCCATTAAAGCTACTCTTAGACCTGCAAGGGGGGGGGGGGGAGAACAGGTCCCTGAATCGGATCTGTATTTTATTCCCCCGAGGAGCAAATAGCAGCTTCATGATCTTGCGATTTACAGTTCAGTCCTGAGGAGATTGACACCCGAGTCGTTCGTTCACAGACTTCAGTCAGTGCCATCCTATGGGAGCAAGCCCCACGGAATAAAGTGGGACTTGCTTCTGTTGGCAGAGTTTAAATAGGCAAGGAAGTGGAGCACTGACTGTTTAGAGAAAAGTAGGTTTATTAGAGAAGAACAAACTGTTACAGAAAATAGAAGAGAGAGAGAACCTTAACTGCCTAGCCAAACCACAGGCTTATCTGCTGTGAGAGGAATAACAAGCAGCAACAGGAAGCTCTGAGTCTGCAGGACCAGGATGTCTCCGGAAGAGCCAATCAGGAGACAGGAGGGGATTATTTGAAAAATACCAGGAAGTCCTTACTCTGACTACGCTAGCTACTTAAACCCTCTGATGCCCCCTGTAGGATATTCTTCTTATCCTTCTTGCTTCATGCACACAGCCCCATTCCCCCAGCACTGCTGCTCTGATTGAAATCAGTGGGGCTGGGGCTGGAGCTGGTTTAAAGCTGCGGTGACTATTTTTTTAAGGGAAATCCAGTCAGGGGTAAGGGTGTGCATTCGGCTATATCCAAGTTAAAAAAATATCCAAAAATACCTTATCAGTATTTTCCGGCTATTCTTTCAGCCAGATATAGACTGGGGCCCAATTTTGGTTATCCAAAATGGCTAAGCCCAAAAAATCCCAGATAGTCGAAGCTAAAGGGTGTTTAAAGGGATTGCAGTCCCTTTAAATGCCTTCTGGGAGAACTCGCTGCTTGGAGAATGTGTTTAAAGGGACTGTGAGCCCTTAAATGCCTTTGGAATTCCCTGTGGCTGGGAGAAGATATTTAAAGGGACTGCAATCCCTTTAAAAATCCATTTTCCCTCACTGGTCAAATCATTTTGAAACTTGGGGGGGTGAGGTGAGGCACCAGCAGCTATCCTGCAAATTTGGTGTCTCTGCATCAAAAAACAGCCCCTCCGGATCCCCTGAACCCCCCAGATCAGTTCTCCATTATACCCTATGGGGACCATTATAGTCAAATTTTCTGGCTTCATTATACCCTATAGTCAATGGTCAATGGTCCCCATTAGGTATAGTGGAGCCAAAAACATTACCAGATCTGAATATCGTATTAGTACTGGGATTTGGGAATATCGGGAAATACCGATATTTACTTCGGTTCAATATACCGGTACCCCAAAAATATCGATTTATTTTTGCACACCCCTAGTCAGGGATCTCTTGAGCTGCCTGTTTTTTTGGCCTATGTGAAGACTGTTAGTGGTGATGGAAAGTGCCATCAAGCGGCTGCTGACTTATAGTTGACCCTGTAGGGTTTTCAAGGCAAAAGAGGTCCAAAGGTGGTTTGCTGTTGCCTGCCTCTGCAGAGCAGCCCCTGGGCCGCAATCACACACCCTAAATAATCCACTTCCAGTCCACTTTCCAACTGGATTTGCCAGTTCACACAGTAAAGTCCAGCTAGAAAGTGCACTGAAAGTGGATTGTTTAGTTTGCGTAATTGCAACCTTGGCCTTCCTTGGTGGTGGTCTCCCATCCAAGTATTAACCAGCTTCCAAGGTCTGGTGAAATCAGGCCAGCCTCGGTTATCCAGGTCAGGGCAAGACTGTTAGACAGTGTTATATAATTCCTAGGCAGAAAAATATCCAAGGAAGGACAGGAATTATTACAAACAAACTATGGAAATACTGATTTAAAGCAATGCTACTCTTAAGAGAGTGCAAAAGATTGTATCAATATTTTCATTTTGTTTGCTCAGTGAAATTAAGCAAACAGGGGGCCAAATCAACATGACACACTACTGTTCCGTAGTTTGATCTTCCAACATATAATTTGGCCCTAAAGAGCAACGGGGTGGGGAGAACCTTGGATCAGGGCCACAGCAGCAAGAGAAGGGGGAAGGGTAGCATTCCTCTTTTTGTACTGTTTGCTTGATTTAAAATGCTGCATTTAGCTCCAGTGGGGAACAACACCAGATGCCAAGACTGTGCCTGCCTCCCCCCCACCCCCAAGTTGGACCTTCAATCGGGCAAGGAGCAATTTTTGGTTAGCAAAATGGCAAAGAATTACTCCTCCCACTTCCCATAATTTTTTTTTAAAGAACCTCTTGATTCAACATAAGCTGAGAACTGCTGATCTGCAATATTTTTGAGAATATACTCTGTGAAATCTGGTTCCAAATATTGCATGGGGCTCCAGTTAGTTTAGAGAACCTCCAGATTCAACCCACGTTGAGAACCATTGGTTTGCACCAATTCTATGACTATATATGGGAGTACATCCAGCCTGGGCTGAAAGCGCTGCACTGGCTGCCAATAGCGTACCGAATCCGCTTCAAAGTGCTGGTTCTTACCTTTAAATCTTTACATGGCCAGGCTCCGACCTACCTGAGGGACCGCCTTTCCCCACATATACCCCCAAGAGCACTTTGGTCGGGGACACAACATCGCCTGGTGATTCCAGGTCCCTGGGAGGTAAAGCTTGCTGCAACCAGGGTCAGGTCCTTCTCAGTGGCAGCCCCCACCTGGTGGAACGAGCTCCCAGATGAGATCAGGGCCCTGCGAGACCTTATGCAGTTCCGCAGGGCCTGCAAGACGGAGCTCTTCCACCAGGCTTTTATATAGGGGCCGCCACAACCACCACTACCATTATTACCACCATCAGTGGTGGAGAAAACAATGGGGTTAGGGGCGGTCCCCGGAAGAACTGCCACAATTTTGCATGACACTGATACTGCTGGACTGGCTTTGGACCATCGACAAGACAATATCACCCTAATGAAATGACTGATACCATCTTTGGAGACCATCTTGTTTGTATGGAGCACTTTATTCTGTTTTTGTTGTGATTTAATGGTTTTACTGTTTTATACTGTTTTTATGTATGGGCTTGTGCCCCCGTGTAAGCCGCCCTGAGCCCATTCGCAGGGAGGGCAGGGTAAAAATGTTAATAATAATAAAAAATAAAAAATAATTAAAAAAATTCTGTGAAATTTGGTTCCAAGTTATACGCACAGATGCTTTGATCAGGGAGGAAGCTAGATTGAAACGTGGGCATACCTGGGAAACGCATACAGCTGTACACAGCTGCAGAGGAAATTTCTGCCTTCTATCAGCGACATCATTTTGTCACGGGAGGTCTATGGACACTTACTGTATGGCGTCTGAGAGCGCAGTGTAATATCCATATCCATATCCATATGTATTGTGTCATGTTCAAGAGCTATTATTGTTGTGAAGTAGTGCCTGGGAGCATACTCACATTATAAGCAGTAACTGCTGGGTTGTGACCCCCAACTTCAATATAGAATTAACGCATTAGCGTGAAATAGAAATAATAAGCAACAGACTAATTTTAATGCAGAATACATTCACATTGTTGATGGTTTTTCCTTAGTGTTTTCCTCCAAGTGGTGGCTGGATATCTCCTGGGACCACAGAGCTCACTTCGCCGGGAGAAAATGGCCACTTCGCCAGGTGGGAGGTGGAGCCTATAGGGCATCGTGCCCCACTGAAGCCCCTCCCCAAGCCCCGCCCTCCTCAGGCTCCACCCCCAAAGTCTCCAGGCATTTCCCAAACTGGATCAGAGTTATAGAAACAACCAGGGAAACCTTTTGTATAGAATGCAATAGATACTATATTGAAATTTTATACAAAGTGTAAATTAATTTTAAAGTGCTTAATTCATAAGTTCATAAAATACCACCTATTAATTCATACATAAGAATCTCAATATTATAAGCAGATCACAATACATTAAGAGAATCACAATACATCAATGTATTAACAAAGCTTCTGGCTTGAGTCTTCGTTTCACTCCTAGACTTCCTCAGAAGTAAATTTTCTTATTCAACATTTTGCATTTAGTGAGTGTCGTCTCTTTTATTTTCCAGGGTTTTTTTCTCTCTGCTTATCAAAGCTTATGTTCCAAATGGGAAATAACAACCTTCATACCAGGCTCCAGTCCAGTCTGCTGCACACTATGAAATGCTAGAATGCCCTTTATTGTTAAAGAACGTTGTGCCATGACAGGAAATGAAGAACTGGCATTCTAGTGAGGATGGAGGGAAGGCTTACCATTGGCCGACTTTGGATGGACAAGCTCCTGGCAGTTTGCCCCCCACCCACTGTTGTACCCGAGGTCTCCTGAGTAATGTGGGGGGTGGAAATGAAGTCACACAACGTACCAAATTCAGTTCTGGGTGAACCCCCTCCCCAGATGTGACATCAGCATATCAGGCAACACTCTGG